GGGATGACTTCAGGGATCAGGATTACAAAGCAGATGACACCCTGCCCTCCTATGCACAGGGCTGATTCCCAAAATAAGTACTTTAATCTCTAATCTCTTTGAATTTTCACACAACATTTTCAAATGGGACTCTTAAAGATTGGGCTATATTGCTTCATACAACCTTTCATGAAAGTGTAAACTCTGAGCAAAAGCCAAGAAAAGGGGGATGGGAGAAGGTATTCTCACAAAAGGCATTCTCGAAAACCCCTGGAGACTCTCTTATAGGATGGCATCCACCATAGAGGTCCTGGTTCTGTCAGTTGGGATTGGTACAAGGAGCTGAGCTCTGTGTGTGTGTGTGTGTGTGTGTGTGTGTGTGTGAGAGAGAGGGGGGGGAGGGAGGGAGAGAGAGCGAGCGAGCGAGCGAGCACGCGTGTATGTGCACACACCACACATTGGGGCTGAACTCAAGGCCTTGAGATTGCTAGGCAAGTCTTATACTCATAGAGCCACATTTCTTGCCCCCTTTTGATTATTTTTTCAAGTTGTTTTCCAGGTAGGGTCTGGCACCAGCCTTAGACCAAGATCTTCCTACCTAGGTCTCCCAAGTACCTCAGAACACAAGCATGAGCCTCTGTGCTCTTCTGGAAGTTACACTCTTAAACAAGTTTTTTGGGTAATTTTGATGCAGGGAGCTAACAGTAGCTTTATCTGGGAGACATCACTTTCCAGAGACATCTCTCCAAGAAGCTGCCTTCAGCCCTCTTCTTGGAATACTCCTGCACTTAATTAATTCAACTCAAAATTTAGGTTAAAAAAGTGCTCCTTCCACCCATAGGTTCATCTCCCAGCTAATTGCCCATGGAGGGGGGGTGTTTACCAATTTGTCCATTTTAACTATTTCTTTTTCTCCACATCGTGTATAAAAAAGAGAAGGTAATGCCATTGTGCAGATCTGATTTATCAATCACTTTTAAGTGGGCTCAAGGAAATGTTGACTAGACAGAAAGTTCTGCTCTCTACTCTGAGGCCCAAAGCCTCAAACATGAATGGAAAACTGAAAGAGATCAGGATCAAACAGCCAAGGTAAAAGGCAGTGTCTAGAAAAACAAAAGTAAAAGTAAATACCTATTCCGGCCACCAATGAAGTGGCCCATGAGCTTACTCATGGCCTAAAGGAGTGGCTGGACAGGTGGTTATAAATGTACAGCTTTTCCAAAGATATACAACAATATTTTGTGGTAATGTGGAATTTTTCATAGTTGCTCAGCTCTGTTTACTTATTTGCCTTTTGTATATTCCTCCAGATTCTATTCATCTTAAAAACACAGACAGACAATGTAAAGTCTTTAAATCTCTGGATGTGACTATTTGAAATGAAATCTTTTTATCCTTCTCTTCCCTGGCATCCTAGAACACATTTTCATCATACTCTCATAAAAGGAAAGACTACTCGAAAATGGAAAATAAGGGTAGTAAAGTCAAAAGGATATTTTACCAAAGTTCTTGGTAAGGAAATATTTATATCCACAGTATATGCCACACCCTTTCTGGGAAGATATTACTGGACTAGAAACTGGGTTAGTGTATCCCAAAATATACTTCACAAAAAGCATAGTTATCCTCCCCAAATGGGCCCTATAATTAAGTAAAGCCTTTTCAAGTAGATTGTTCTATATCACAACTTGACATATGTTGCTTTAATCTCTCTGCTTCAGCAAATGAAGCCATACTGGACTGCAAAAGCTCTCAACAAACCACATTTAAACCACACTGTGGTGTCACTAACAAATGGGTGCAAATATAGTCCTGTGTACCAAAATACCCAGCTCAGTCTTCTGTAATGAGATCTCTGTCCTCCCTAAACACGTTTTTATCACAGTAGAATCACTACCTTTGATTCAAAGGAAGAACCAGCCCAAACCAAAATGCCATTTCATCTCTAAGGTCATCTGAAGACACAACAAATAGCTATGGAAACTAGGGCTGAAATGACATCTTTCATGTGAATGCTACTAGGACCATGGTGAGTGAGTCTTGCTTACATCTTTTGTAACCCATCTTTCACTACCAATTGCTAGAGACCCACCTGTCTGAATGAATTGATTTACAGCAATATTTGCTTTGAGTTGGGTTAATAAAAAAGGTAATTTCTTATGAGCCTTTTATCTCTCTGAATTCTTAACAAACTGTGTGTGTGTGTGTGTGTGTGTGTGTGTGTGTGTGTGTACATGCTCTGGCCCTGGGGATTGAACTTTAGGTCTGGGTGCTGTCCCTGAGCTTTTGTGCGCAAGACTAGTACTCTACCACTTGAGCTACAGCTCCAATTTCAGATTTTGTGGTAGTTTAGTAGAGATAAGAGTCTCACAACTTTATTGCCTGGGCTGGCTTTGAACTGAGATCCTCTGATCTCAGCTTCCTGAATAGTTAGACGTGAATCACTGGTACCCAACTGAACAAACTTTTTTTACACTCTTACATTCATATAATTCAAGGCTGAAATATTAAAAAAATGTAAATCCTCAAAATGGTGATTACTTTAGGCATTAATTTTTTTTTTATCATTATTGCTAACATCAGTTTCCTAGCCTCAGCACTATTGATATTTTGGGCTGGATCATTGTATTTGTGTGTGTGTGTGTGTGTGTGTGTGTGTGTGTGTGTGTGTGTGTGTGGACATGTTGCTGTCTTATACATCTTGGAATACTTAAGCAACATTCCTGGTGTCTATCCTTATATATACCAGTAGTATACACTTTCTTCCTCAGTTGTAACAACCAAAAATGGCTCCGAAATGACGAAATGTCCTTTGGAGGGCAAAACTGTCCCATGTTGAGAACCACTGCTCTCTTTTTTAATTATTTGTCTCCTGCCCCCTGATATGGCCAGGAAAAATGAAGTCTAAAATTTTCAAGGCATTCACAAGTTATTGATTTTAAGAATTTCAAACTTCCTGACATGTGAGGCATCCTGACACATTTCTACCTCAAAATATAAATAAATAGCACTACTGCTGTCTCCCACTCATTTCATTTAGTACATCAAAGAGGATAGGTTTGCTCCCCCAAATTTCTGGACCACTATCCTCCTGAATGGAAATTTTAGAGCTCCATTCTTAGAAGACTGCTTAACAAAAATGCTTCACAACCCATCACTAGCCCTCAGCACTGATAGTGCTGAATGAGGTTAGAATCTGAGTGCTTACTAACATCATCTACTGAGGCAATGTGTCTGGCTCAGACCATTCAGTCACAGTTCTTTCTACTTGGCATGTGCAAAGGAGAGGCATGGTAAAGCAGATGTCTCCTCCAAGAGGTTCATAGGGTGAGAAAAGATATGAACATCACATTGGAGGACCAAAAGTACAAGAATGAATGGTGGGAAGTTCAGCTGGTGACTGGTATGTGGAAAAATGGGTGGGCTTAGAGACTGACTAATAGCAGTAGGTGATTTAAAAAAATCCCTAAATACTTATTATGTTCCTTAGATCATTGTTTTTCTTTCTTCCCAATCTCCTTCTCTTTTCTATCCTTCTTTTTCTGTTTAACAAGTTGAAGTAACTGGCTTCTTTAGTTGTTACCAGTTGTTTTGTCTAGCAGTTTATTTTTTTACATTTTAAAAATTAAGGTTAAGTTTGGTGTGGTGATACATGCCTATAGTACCAGCTCTAAGGAGGATGATGTAGGAAGACTGTATGTTCAAGGCCAATCTGGGCTATACAGTGAGATTTTGCCTCAGAAACAAAGACAAAGAAATTAAGGTGTCATTTACATACAACAAACTTATCCTTTCTAGCATACAGCTCTGTGATTTTTCATGAAAACACAGCTTCATCAACACAATCATAATTAAGAAATGGAATAATGTTAATGATGTGTTTCTAAAATAATCTGTTTAGTTATTTTAAGATAAAATATTTGCACATCTATATGGCATACAGTATAATAATGTCACATATGTGAACAATGTAGTAATCAAATCTGGGTGAAAGCCTGTGTATCACCTCAAAAATCACTTTATATAGTGTGAACTTTTGTGCTCTTTGCTAATAGTTGGATGATTTTCCATTCTTCAAGCAGCTAATTTTCTACTTCTTTCATTTTAATGTATAGGCCATAAAAGTTCCCTGCTTTGGAGACTAATTTTTGGTCTGTATGTTTGTTATTTGTATTACATAGCTGGTTTAGTACATACACTAAATTGACAGAAGCATTTTTGTGTGTTTGTGTGGTGGTGGGCCGGATTTGGGGGGGGGGGGGAGGGGGGGGGTTTGAACTCAGAGCCCAGCACTTGCTAGGCTTGCTTGCTTTGCTAGGTCTCTACCATTAAACCCATACCTTCAAGCTCAACTTTTTGGAGATGGAGTCTCATGGACTTTTCAGCCTATGCTACCTTAAGATCTCTATCTTTGAATCTCAGTCTCCTGAGTAGCTAAGATTACAGGTATGAGCAACTAGGACCTGGCAAAGATATTATTTACCTTTCATCCTCTTTCCTAAATCCAATCTTATATGTTAGAAAACACCACTCTAATAACCAGAAGAAAAAGGTTAGTTTTTAAAAGCTGATGCCTGTGGCTAGCTACTCAGGAAATTGGGATCTAAGGATTTGAGGATTGTGGTTTCTTGCCAGGAAAGGCAGAAAAGTCCATGAGATTCTTTTCTCTAATTATCACCCCCTGCCATCAAACAAACAAACAAACAAACAGAAGAGAGCTCTGGCTCAAGTGCGAAAGCCCAGGCCCTGAGTTTAAGCCTTAAGACTGGCAAAAAAAGAAAAAAATCCACTTGTCAGAAGGGTCCAATTCATTATGACATTCAATTACAAAACTCCATTCCATTTAAGATTTTTACAGATGTAAAAGATGTGCAGACCAAGGCAACGGCTTGCCTTCAATAATAACACTCTATTTTTTTTTAAAGTAATATAAATAAATGTACCAATACATTAGTAACATTTTATTTTTAAAAAAGTAATAGAAATAAAAAAGTAATAGAAATAAATGCACCAATACATACCAAAATTTCCACCAACTATCACAAACTTTATATACACCACATGTCTTCTAATACAGCAGCAGGACTGGTCCTAAAAAATATCACAAAAGACAAAACCAATCATCCAACAGACATAATCTAATCACCTTGTGCTTCTCTGGAAATAGTGATCTCTCTTTCTGTTTTGGACATCCATCAATATACAGAATTCCAATTATCAAGTTCTGCCCCTTTGCTTTTCACAGGAAAATAAAAACAATTTACAAATTACCTCACTAGAAGCAAATAAAGAAAGGAAAAATGGGGGCTGGGAAGGTGGCTCAGTGGCAGAGTGCTTGCCTTGCATGCATGAGGCCCTAGGTTCCTCGGCACAACATAAGCAGAAAAAGCCAGAAGTGGCGTTGTGGTTCAAGTGGTAGAGCTCTAGACTTGAACTAAAGAGCTGAGGGACAGCGCCCAGGCCCAGAGTTCAGGACCCACGACCGACAAAAAAAGAAAGAAAGACTGGACAGTAAGACAAATACAAACCATGCTTATACGTGGTTTGAATTTTGATCCTTTAAAATTATCAAGGAAAAGTATCTGAAATTGAACTCATAACATTTTTCCTAAAGCAATGCTTCTTTCTTTTACCCTCCTTTCTCCTCAGTTCTCTGTAAGACCCTGAGCAAGTCTGCAAACTTTTCTAGACTTCATTTTACTGTTTGTGGCATAGTGACTATGGCACTAACCTCATAGGGTTGCTAAGAGGATTAAATAATATCAACTGAATGGTATACAAATGATACAGAAAAGTCTTAACAGCACCTGGGATAGTGTAAGCCCTCAATAAACAAACTTCTATCATCATTGTCCTCATTCCCCAGGCTTGAGGCCTCCTCAAATGGCCTTCTTCTGCTGCACACCAGGACCTAAATCTTAGCACTGTTGTGCTAGGATTCATTGCTCCTCTGCCTTCTCATCCTGACACTCTACGGTCTGGGTCAGGCCTTGCAGAAACCAAGCCCTTGGCCTCTAGTTTCTACCATTCCCACCAAATCTTTGGGCTCTGCAAAGCATCCTTTCCAAGCACAACTTGTCCAGTCCTTCCTTGGCAAACATGCCTTCCACTACTTCCCCTTACCTACACAATATGTGTGAAATCATGTCTGCCTGGGACTCAAGCTCACCCAGCTTTAGTTCTACATGTTCTTACCAGATTTGGAAAATCTAGTCACCTGTCTTGCTGCTGGGTCTCTAGAAGGTCTGTCTCCTCCCTGGGATCCTTCTGTACTCTCTCTGTCAGTAGGAGACCCAATCACTTTCATCACTTGTACTGTGACAATCTATAGACATATTTCTTAGAATGTTTTAAAAGCCTAAAATTAATAGACAAAAAGCACAGGATTCAAAAGAAGAAAAGTATAATGATACATCCTTTACAAAACTGGAAGGGGCTTCTTTCAATAGCTAGATAGTTTATAGCAAAGCTCTAATAATGATCATAATGTTTCTACCTTGGCTTTTCCAAACTTGGTATTATTTTAATTCTTCTTTCTCTTAAAAAATTATATTTTGGGGCTGGGAAGGTGGCTCAGTGGTAGAGTGCTTGCCTTGCATGCATCGAGCCCTGGGTTCGGTTCCTCAGCACCACATAAGCGGAAAAAAGCCACAAGTGGTGCTGTGGCTTAAGTGGTAGAGCACTAGCCTTGAGCTGAAGAGCTGAGGGACAGTGCCCAGGCCCAGAGTTCAGGCCCCATGACTGGCAAAAATAAAATAAATAAATAATATTTTATTTAAGTACTTCCTGTTTTATGGGAAATGCTCATTTTCTCATTCTTCTCATGAGTACCAGCATGCACAGTAAGAAGGCATTCATGAGGGCTGCTTGACTCAGTCAATGAATTAGAGTATAATATTGCTTTTCCACATGAGTTTTGCTAATATTAATATCTCTTTGGCAGCCTATGAGGTCCTCATTATGTAGCTGTGCACCTAAATGTCCTATACTCAAATTACAAAAGACTGAAGCTCAGTCAACAAAATGCTCTCTTCTTTTCTTCAGAGATGGAATGCTTAGTCTGTGTTGCTGACTTATAGGACTCTAGGAACATATCAGACATTCAATTATTCCATTATCACATAACTCATGGACTACCTGAATGAGACACACATAATCCTGCCTTCCTGCAGCATCACATCTAGCAGTTTTCCCAAGCTAGTCCAGGGGAGCTGAGAATTTCTCATCTTGCAGGGCCTTTGAACAGATAAATTTTTTATTTTTTTATTTTTTGTGAAAATACTGTACAGAGGGGTTACAATTACATGGGCAAGATAATGAGTACATTTCTTATCAAGCATTGTAGCCTCCTCCTTTGTTTCCCCTTCCCATCCCATCCTCCCCTCCTCCCCCCCTCCCCAACTCTGCTCCCCCACCCACCAAAGTTGTAAAGTTCGTTTTGGTCAGATAAATTTTTCTAAATGGACAAGGCTAGTTAAGAACTGTCTGGCATTCACCAGTGACCAAACTATAAGCCAGTTTCTCATCAGTCATACCAAAGTGAGCCTATGGTTTGGGAACTAGCAGATCAAATAGACACAACAGTAGAATTCCATCTTCTCTTCAAGCACTTTCCTGAAAGATGTCTTTGCATATGAAGTCACAGATGGCAAGTACCAGAGTGACTGTCTCAGGAAGGCCTGTTCTACGGTTGGCTAGGGTTCACTTTGGGGCCACCGAGTCTGCTCCTGGACTGTCAGTCTATCCTTTTTCCTAAATAGCTGCAGCACAGGATTCCTGTGTACCTTCTTTCAAAAATAATAAAAACAAAATAGTTTATACTTCTCAAATGAAGAATAATGATTTTTCTCCACTGAGAACCACTTATCAGGGCATGGTGACCATTTGCTTTGGCAAAAATTTATCACTGGCTGCCCTTTCCATGCCTGACATCATGTCAAGTGACTCTTAGAACAAGTGGGAGTGTTCGCTTCTTCCCCAATGCCTACTAAGACTGATGTGCTCTCCACTTAAAGAACAAAGGCTGAAATTGGAGTGATATTATTATATTTAAGAACATTTAGAGCCATTTCATTTAAACTGGTCTTTGTGAGACATACTAGAAATATGGTATTAATCACCAATAAAAATAAAAATAACAGTGATTACAGGGAAGGTGGCATGACTAGTTTATCTTCTGTTTCTAGAATTATAATGCATACCCTGTCATAAATGAGTAATAACACTTTTATGGGTATTCCCACACAAGAATGTGTAACCCTGTGTACTTTGTCTAATACATACCACAGATTTGTGTACTTCAAGGCAATCTTCTAATTACATACTTGGAACAAGGATACCTGAGACAGTTTTCATTTCCATAAGATCATATCCACTTCCTTCTTTCTAAAAAAGTCCCCATGTTTCTCCAGCCACTGTGCTGGAGATTCTTAGAAATGTTGGATATGAAGTTCCATCTGAACCTATTTTATAAGATTCACCTGGTAATCTGTGTATACATTAAAACTGGAGAGCCTCTAATCAAGAGAAACCAGCCATTGGTTCAAGATGTGTGGCTCAATTTTAAGCCAATGAAATGTGAAGAATGTTTTGCTGGGAGCTTCTCTGCATTCTTCTGGGAGAACTCCTTCCTTCTGAATGTTGTGTGGGTGTAATGCTTGGAACTTCTGTAGCTGTATTGCTGCAGCCAGAGATAGTTCAAGTTATTACATAAGTTAAACCTGAAGTTTGTGGCACCCCTGAGTTTCCAATAAGTTTCTTATTGTTTATGTAGGCCTTCTTCAGTTGGATTTTCAACTATCTGCAGTTGGAAATTTTTCTGAGGAACTAATTCCTAAACAAAACATTGTAGAAAGCACAATGCCAAGGCACTGGGCATGGCCACATGTTGAAGAGTCCAGACAGGGAAGTTATAGAGAGACCAGACCAAGTTTAAAGACTCATTTTGCTCAAGGAATTGATCCCTTTGTAGTATTTTCAAGTCCTCATAACCATCATTCATTTGTGCATTTTAAAACTTTTTAAAATCAGTTGGACTCAATGAACTAAAGGAAATGCTGAATACTTTCCAAATTATTTTAACCAGGTGGTCAACAGTTGGCCTTCCCCAGGAGTCATACAGATGTCACTTCCTGCAAAGACAATGGGAGACTAATTGCTCAGCCTCACCCTCTAATAGGGAAGACAACCTGCGATATGTAATTACTAAGGATAAATAAGGAAGAGCTTGGGGCTCTCAGAATTTGTTTCTGGATCTGCTCCAATTTCTTGGGGAAACAGAAAAAAAGCACCAGCTGGTTTGGAAAAGATTTGAGAAGTAACAGCTTAGGCAGCCACCTCTACCATTTTTTTTACACTTCACTGGTACTTAGCAAAGAGCTTTCTGAGGAAACCAAATAGACTGGCTATTATATATTTTTAAAAAAATACACAAAGCCATATGTGGCTTTGGTATAACTGCTTTGCATAGAGGAGTGATACAGGTGAGGAGAACTGGATATCTAAATTAACATTACCTCTGGTGGGTCCTAGCTTCTTAGCCACATGAGAGTATTCTGGGTTTGGCTAAGGCTGTGTTTGTGGTATTAACTTGATAGAACCTATTTCCTATTAAGGAATGGTACAAATACAGAATGTGTTTCCCTAGGTCCTATATCCTTGGAACTCTTTTTTTTCAAATCCCTTTTTTGCTTTCTCTTTCCTGACACTTCACACACTTCTAATATGCCCAACCACTTTTCTACGCAATGAGTTCAATCTGCATCTCTAGCTCTTATCTGTCATGTTCCTAGGGCATTTGCTACCCTGAAACAGAAAATGCCTTCAGGGAAGGGACTTTGTCTTGGTCATGGTTATGTTCCCAGTGATTGTACAGTGCTTGGCACAGAGTTCATGCTGTCTTTTGAACAAATAACCGAAAGCCCTCATCAGACTGAGTATGCCTCACAAGGGTTTCTTGCTGTCACTCCTAATTGACCTCTCTTACTTCGACTTTCCTTTTTACTCATTGGTATACATGAATTTCTGGGCCTAGGTCCCTCCTAGAATATCTCAGATAAGAAAGACTTAGTGTACCAGCCTCATGCTTTCTA